AAGCCCAAAGACAATATTTATAATCATTTTATTATGTTTAAAAACCATCATCTGTTCTATTTTGTATTCCCTCTTCACTCCTCCACAAAACATATATGATGTGAACACAAAGCAGGTATCCCAGCAGGCTGAAGCAGCTCTGCTCACTTGTCTTCGCCGCTGTTGCGCCAGCGTCACCAAAGCAAAGCAGACGTGACCAGGGCTGTACAGTACAGAGGAGACAGAGGAGAGCAGCCAGACATGCACAGCCAGAGACAACAGCAAGATGCTTCTTCCTTTCTGAATTTGCACTTACAGAAATAGCAGTGTCCATTGTGGACATGAGTAAAAATTTGTCAGCTAGACTAAATGCTTAGCCCCTGCAAAATTACAAGAGAAAAACATTAAAATCAAAGCCAAATGCTTTATAAACTGGCCAGGGTCAGTAAAGCAGGAAAAATCACTTCTGCAAATGGCAGAAACATGACCAAGTAGAACAAGATTGCAGCCTCGTTCAAAGGGTGCCTAAATATTAGGCTGGCGTATGCATACAGCTCTCATTTATCTGAACCAACAGAATTACGCTGGGCTGTAACTTGGAGAAACAGGTCAGACTGGCTGGTCAACCTTCCGCTGCAACCTTCTGCAATGATCTTGTTCATGCAAATTGAAGTAAACTGGAGTTATTATGATCTATGTGTTCTATTATCCTCCACAACAGAGGTTCCTGTGGCTTTATACTGTAAAAACTCATCATAAAACACTTGTTAACATAATTTTATAAAATGCTTACCCTTAAAACCTGTACAAACATTACAATGAACAAAATCCATAAACAATGTACTTTTTCAAGTTCTTTACTGGCTTTTTATAAAAGTACTCACTATTTAAAAGCTATATGGTATCATAAATCTATCTGAAGCAAGTCCTCAATTGCCTTAGCTCAGTGTTTGATGAAGGACAATATAAATACTCTCTGGCACTTACTTGTTCTCCCAGGCTTTTGCAAGATGCTCTAATCCAATGCTGCATATTATTCCGAGACGTAGGAAATCCAAACAGAGAGAGACCAACACTTTCTGTGTCCTCAGCAGTGATGTTCCTGAAGAACTTTGAAGGTTCTTGCACCCACGGTCTGGGTCCTCCTTCAAATAACATATCTTTAGAGGAACCCAAAGTCACTAAAGCAACAGATGGAGGATCAATAGTCTGAAATGAACAACAGTTCTGAATTAATGATTCTGTCTACATGCCTTATATTCTGATTGAACGTCAAAAATAAACCTTCTCTCTTTCTTAGGAGTTATATTTAGTTATTATTTTGATTAGGCTATGATTTTTCACACAGCAGTTTGCAAGCAATAATCTGACAGGTTATATTCAAGGGACTCCAAGAGCCTGAAGAAAAATATTTAGTACATTCAAATTCCATCTCTTTGATGAAAAACTGCAACAAGGCAATATTGAATACATACTTTTGAATACATCTAGACAGAGAATTTTCTACTACATTTTAAAAATAGACAGTACTTTAATACTTGAAGTAATGTCAAGCTTTACTCTTGTTTAAAATCCTTTCACTTGACAGTGCTCTCTCCAACAGTCTAGTGTGTGTAATTATTCTCCTACATATGACTTAAAATTTTACTTCAAACCTATAGAAAAATTCCACTCTGATGTACATCACCAGTATTGCCTGTGCTGTTAATCACCACAGAAATTAACTTGACATTTTAATAGGCAAAAATCATTTGAAGCTTGTGTTTCACTACTTTATTTTTGTCACAATATGTTAAGAAAGAACTAGTAACTGGCATAAAGGATGGTGAATTATTTCTGTAAGCACTTGGTAGGAGGCAGGAGAAGAACTGTATATAAGTGCTCCTCTTTCCTCCCAGTTATTCCTTGGTTATATTGGTAACAGGTAAAGGCAAAAACCCATTTGAAAATTACAAGATTTAATTTTGAGTGTCCTCCTGCTCTTTGACTCCTGTTATTCTCTTACTTTTTATGCTATGAATTCCTTTTTTAAGGGTGATACCTGACAGCAAAATGCCCGTGTATTCCATTTCTGAGCATCTCAAATATTTTATTCTACCGATAGGAAGGAAAAGAAGATTTGGAAATAACACTTCTAAGCTCTTTTTTAATACATATGGGCCCTGTTAGGTACCCTTGAGGCATTTAAACTTATATATGGAAAGCAATGTTATAATGCTTCAATGCTTAGGGAATGTGAACGATAGCATGCATTTGAATAACTCATAATTAAAGGCACCAAGTCCTTTCACATTGCCTGTTAACAGTAGGAAAGATACCACACGACATTCAGGACACCTCATGATCTTCTAAGTGTTACCTTTTCTGTGATTCAATATCTTTTATTAAAAAAAAAAAATTAAAGGAAAGTCATCATTACACTTACGCATTTGTATGATTTACACAAACTTCTGTCCCATAGGAAGAGCAGAGAGGGGGGTGATATACTATGGTCAAACATTATTATTAGCTTAAATCAGTTGATTTAAGCTTGATCTCTAAAGACAGACAGTAACATGAACACACTATTCTATTTTCATATGCTTACTTTGTACTCAGATTGCTTTCTACTTTTTTTACTTGAACTGTCAGTGAAATATATTTTTCCTGTCTACAAGGAATCACTTAAAATAGTCAGTTGGAAAACAAAGGCTTTGAGTCTCGTATCGTTTTCAACCCATTTAGAATCTGATGGGGATTAATTTACTAATTCAATAGTTATTTGGTGCATAATGGGACATACCCAATTCTGAAGGATTGAATTTCAAGAATGAATTGTCCAGGTGCTCTTGTAATAAAAATCTGTTTTTCAGCTTTCTAAAGACTTTGTTTTTTTAAAAAAAAAGATGGCTGAATGAATCAGAATTTGTAGAAACCAAGTTACTGCAAAACAGCCAGAAAAAGGAACTCAGTGTTACAGACAAACGTTGTTATCCTTCGCTCTCAAAATACCCACTCCTTCACAGTTCGTTCTGAAGAGATTTGACTTTATTACTGTTCTGAATGTTCCTACTGAAGACAGCAATTGTAACTTTTGCCATAAAATCTGAAAAACGACCAAGAACATGACGTTTACTTTCTGCTTCAAAACTTGCAAAAATCTCTTCACTCAATGCCAACTTACCCATTCCTCTATACTTATACCTTACAGTCTTTATAAAAGAAAACTCATTTTCATACAGAAAGGGTGAAAACATGATTCTCTAAGACAGATCAGAAGGTTTTTTTCTGTGAATATATTCATAATACCAACTTGCTATTTTGTTATTTAGAGACACCAAGGGCTGCCTTTTTTTTTTTTCTTTAAATTAAGTGCAGCAAGAAAAAAGACTTACTTTTAATGGCAGATAGGCAGCAATGGTGATGCTAGCGCTGAGGTGGATATGACCATGGGTATAGCTAACAACAAGTGTTGTGTATCCTTGAGTTTCAGCTTTCACTCTGACTCCACTACAAAAATCTGCAGTTGGTTTAAGTCTCCCTGTCAAAAAAGGAAAAAAAATTAATAATCTTTAAATAGAATTTCCCAGGATTTTTAGTTAAAATTCTGGATGACTGTTCTTGACAGAAATATTTCCACCAGAAATACGTTGATCTCACCAACTGAACAGGTAAAGTGTTGGTTGTCTTTTGTATCAAACCAATCACTTACTGAAGTATCCATATCTCAAACCTCTATTTTTAAACTGTTCTAACAGTTCTAACAAGTCTTTTCTCTGAAGTACAAATTACATTAATTTTATTAATTGAATACTTTTGTTTTACTGTTTTAGATTAAAACTGGCTTGTAATTAAACCGGTTGTCCTGCGCAGAAGCACTGACTACAATTCAAGTTTTAGTTTTCACTGGCTAAAGGAAAGTTATTACCATGACATTTCTCTGACTCTTCACATACCTTTTTTTTCCTAAAATAAATAAATAAATAATAAAAACCACTATAACGGCTAATTATGAAGTGACATTTTAAAATCGCTGCCTCTTAGGCACGCAGATGGTACACTGCAGACTGGTTTTACTGGCTCAGTAGCACAGCGAAGAGTTTCCATACAAGAGGCACTCAGAAAAAGTACTGGTGTATCTGAATAATAAACTGACCTGGGCAGACACAGGGCCAAGCAGGTTGTTCATTGCCTGCTTGGGCATTAATAGCAAACTGTCCACTGGCCATTACTGGCAGACTTTGAGGAGGGAGGAAATCATATTCTGTACTCTTACTAAGTCTGACAAGATGCACTTCTTAATGCTGGGAACTGTTTTCTTAAAGCTGTGACAGTTTTGGCAAAATTTAAGCAGCTGATCTTAGCTTCCTGAAAGCAAATGCTGGCTAGTGCCTTTATGGAACTGAAGGGTACAGCTGGGCAAGCAGAACTAAGCACATGGTTAATTTTAAGATTCTTGCAAGTTTTCCACTTCACCATCAGAACACCATATAACCCAGACCCCTGTGAGAAGAAAACCCATCAGTTTTGCTATAGCAGCATTTTAAAAATACTAAAGCAGTAAATGAAAGGCATATAGGAGTGACTTAAGAGAGATATGTGACTGAGTAACATTTTATTTTAACTTTCAAAATAGGAGGGGGTTAAACCACCTTGAAGTGGCCTGAACACCCCTCGGTTTTCTACTTCCACAACCAGATCGAAGTGCGAGCAGTCGCTCAGTGGGACCGTCTCGCCCGTCTCCACGTTCGTTAGGCCGTTGATCCGCAGGGGCAGCTCCAACGTCTGGCCAATGCGCGCTTCAACTTGGCACGGCAGGAACTCCATCCCCCTGGGTTCAGTCACGTACACCTGACGGAGGAAAGGAACGGGGACAAGATGCACAGAACTCCACAGAAAGGTACCAGAAAAACAAGACTTCCTTATGGTCTCCTATTTTTCTTTGCCCTTGCATATACATCATCCAACGACTACCTTCCCTCTGACTGCTGGAAACAGTCCCTCCATTTCCCCCAACACAGTTACTGCTGTGTTCATCTGACACAGAAAGCTGCCAGAGGGTGCCATGAGGATTTCTCAACCATTTTATTCCACTTTTCTCAAAACAGTCCAAGCTCACCTTGGTCTAACAATCCTTCTGCTACTACTTGCATTAATTTTCTTTTCTGCCACCTGCCTTTTACTGTATAGAGTTTAAAGTGGGGATTAAAGTGTGTGATGAACAGCTATGCTGGACTTAGTACCTGACCTTGAGTTCTGCAGTGTGTTTGAGCCAGACCTGCTAAAGCCAGCAAAGCTCCCGTGGCCTTCAGTCTGCAGAGCTGAGAGCAGCAGCAGCATAGAAGAAATTATAGGAAGCAGTGTCTCAAAGACTTTCTTACAGCCTTAAGTCTTGTTTTTCTTGTATTTCTGTTGGCAGGGCATTTTTAATGGTATTCAAAATCCTCCCCCCACAAGTATATCAGAGATCAGAAATAAGTAAACACATTCAGTGCCTTCCGTTTCCACAAGTAATCCTTATGTCAGAAATACCTTGGAAATCAAAAGGATTACTTCCAAAAATAAGTCTAGCAGAAATAGATCTTAGAGGCCATTGTATCAGTTATGTTGATAGACAAGTCTTAAGTATATTATTTGTTATTCTGTTGTGGCTTTTTCAACAACTTCAAACATTCCTCCAAAGATTGACTGCACGTTGCATAACAATTGTTGCGATCAAAGCTTCACATTTGCAGTACCTAAACTTCTTAACTATCTACAAATAGCTTCAGGATAAGTTGTCTAGCCATATGGTTCAGTGTTAAAACTACAGTCCTTGGGAAATACTATGTCTATCTCAGATGCATCTTGTAGAATTGACATAATTAATTTGAACACCAAAGAACAAGCTAATCTGCCCCTTAAAAATCAGCGTTGCAGTTGTTCCAATCACAACTTTGTTAGAAATATCTTTCCCAAATATTCATATTAACAGCAAGATTACCACTTACATTCTTTTCTTTTTACTATGGGACAGATTTGGCAGTCTTGATCCAACAGTTCTTAACACTTTTGCTAAAAGGTACTCTGATGCAACAGAAGAGCAATGCAACAACTACAGCTATGCTGCACATGGGAAAACTTAGGAGTGATGAGATCTTTTGTATAGCTGATGCATGTATATTTAATCCAATCAGTTTGTTCTCCACCAGCTGCTAAATGGCATGCACGCATCGCATGGAGGAAGGAAGGTGTTCTGTGCTTGCTTTCTTGCTGCTGTGCTTCCTCAGAAACCAAACCATCATCTTTACAAAGCCTTAACCAGACAGAAGTTATTTAACTTATGAATAGACATTCAGACACAAGTCAATCTCTGGACTCCAGATTAGTCATATATGCTCAGTACATTCTCTTACTGAGGTCAGGAGCAAAATTCTCTGTCAGGTTTCCATCTCATCACTAGCTCTTTGCAGAAGTCACTGAAGTAAAGCACAGATTCAAATGCCTGCGGCTATTGCTGCAGAAGCTGCTTTTTGTAGAAATGATAGACAGAAGTATCTCCCTACTGCCGCAACGCAGTGTGCGTATCTAAAATTAAACATCTTCACAAGTAACATGGGCCTTCAATCCCGACAGCGTGAGCAACACTGCATAATTACTTGAACACAGCCCTTGCAAAGACTATTTCTTGTCCAACAAGCACAGAGCCAAATTAGAATTTGACCAGATCAACTCATGCCAACATTCTCTTTTTGTGAAGGTAGTGGCATGGCACTACTTCACAGAAGTACACAGAAATACTTCACAGAAGTTACCAGTCTGGTAGTTCTGAGCAGCTTGACAGAAACTAAGCATCAGCAGGATTTAATTAAAGAAAAAAATTTGTGTTCCTAGAAAGAATTCCAAATCAGTAATACTCTGCGAAAAATATTTAACATTGTAAATTTACAGTAAGCATTAACTAGATAAGCTTCTTCACATATCTTTGAACTAACTGAAATGCAAGCAGACTCCATATACTATCCTTATATTTTCTTCACTTTACCTCACATGCTAAGAAAACGATCACCCTAACAAAATGCTAGTAAGACATCATTTGCACAAAGATGACAAAATCCTTCTTCAAAGTGTATTTTTTTCATTCCCTATGTTCTAATATTCCTACAGGATTCTTCTTGGGATTTTGCATCTAGATTTATTAAGTGGCATGTATAGGATTCAGATCACTTTAGGCAGCAATTTCCTTACCACACTTCATGTTATCTTTCAACGTTTATCATGAGGAAACCAACCCACCTCTTCCCCTGCAGAATGTATTTTTAGTTTGGCTTGTCTCCTTAGATGGCTAAACCAGCAGTAAATGACTGCTTCCTTCTTGCATTTAAAACATTCCTCACAGAAAAAAAGAGTTGCCAAGAAAATGGGTGACAAACTGAGACAAAATCAATGCAGTAGAGACAGCTTGAATTCCCAAAGTATGAACTCTGAGGCGGATCACCCACGCAGCCCCAGGGCAGAGAGGCAAATTGCTTGGCAACATTTTGCAAAGGGGAAGGCCCACAGGATGCTCAACTTCTTCATTGTTTCTGAAAAGCCACCTCCAGAGCAACCAGGGAATGTGAAGCTTTACCTTCATTTCTCCATAGTGCAGTGGATTCTGAACATCAATTGCCTGAATGACACTGACACCAATGTCACTTCCAGTTGTCATAACTCCCTTGACTGTCACTGTAGCAACTGCCTGGTTAGAATAGGACCAGCTGAAATTTCCACTTCCGCCATGGGCCTAGAAAACAGAGAAAATCTTTCAAATATTATTTTTTTTACAAAGTGAATGGTTTTCACGTTTCTTAACTGTCAAGCTCCTGAATATCTTGCATGAAAAGCTGAACACACTGAGCATTGATAGAACTACTAACGAGTAAGTATAACCAAAATAATGCCTATGCACTTTGAAATAACTACAGTCAAATAAGAGATGAGAAAATTACTGTACTTCATTCACTTTCAGGTTGCTGCTCCCCAGTGCAGTTAACCCAAACATCTCTGTCCCCCCGCTGCAGATGTCTAATGCTAGCAGGGCCCAGTGACTGACAGTGCTAGTGCTGTGTCCCACTAGCTGGCACAAAACATTATTGTGCTAGCCACTAGTTGATAACCAAAGAGCAAACTCAGTGATATCGTGTCTCACTGCTGCTAGTTTGACACACTGCAAACAAACAAGCCCTTTCCCCTCCAAGATCTCAGTTACTGAAGGGCTGGTTTCAGCTAAGAAGAGCGTTAAGAGAGTGTAATTATTCCACGTAAGGGTAAGAACAAGTTACTTGATATTATGGCCCACACCAATAGACACAATGATCATACTGGGAAAGCAATAGGAGCACCTGGCACTCAGGACAGGGCAGTATCTCCTGCAAGGTCATATTCTGTAAAGTCGAGGGCCAAAAAACAATCATCAGCACAAGCAGAGTATTCTCCTCAACCCACAACACCAGGTGCTGAACTGAGATAATCATTGCAAAGCTGCAAGGCACAGTTTTTAAGGAGCATTAGGGAACAAGTTCAAAATTGCATTGGAGTGAAACTGGGTGCAACATGGGTGAACACCACAAGGAGTTCTTGTTTATGCCCATTTTGTTCATTTCTTTAGCTTCCTCAGTATTTGTTCTAATCTGTTTCATGGTTAGACTGATCTAAGAACAGACAAAAACATAAATCCTAGAGGAACGGTGTGGGAAAATAAACAATCTAAATGGAACTAGATTTTGCTAAGTGGCTTCTCATAGAAAAATCAAAAAACGTCTTTTCTCTTTTCCCCTTCCATAAGCACCGGTACAACCTACTTGCAGAAAGAGCACTGGATAAAGAAGACTGGCTAAAAAAGAAATGGCATTTGACGGAAGGAAATGTGTGAGATATGGTGAAAAACATTTGGTCACGGAACGTGTATGTTAAAAGTGTTTTGGAACAATATCTTCGGCTAAAATAAAGGAACGGGCGAAAGATGTACCATAGAAATACCAAATTCCTCATAATTCTGCAGTCACAGCTCCTCGTCATGTAAACTAGATGTATTACTACATTTTTCTCTCTAGCAGTCAGTCTGCACTGAGAAGACAGAATGAGCCAGCTCCCATTTCAGCTTAACTGTTCTCCTCAACGGTGCCCAGGGCAGGATGCCCCAGGCACAAGCTGCGCACAGGAAGTTATGTCTTAACGGAACATTTTTTTTTTTCCACTGTGAGAGTGGTTGAACTCTGGAGTAGGTTGCCCAGAGAGGCCGAGGAGTCTCCATCCTTGCAGATATTCCAAGCCCACCTGGACACAGTCCTGGCTATCCTGCTCTAAGTAAGCCTGCGTGAGCTGGAGGTTAGACCAGATGGTCTGCCGGGTTCCCCTCCAAACCCACCTATTCTGTGATCCACAGACTGTTGAAATACATCCGCAGTTTGTCAGCCATGCACTAAGCTTCATAAGGATGGCACTAGCTTTTGCATGCCTGGAAGAACAAGCATCTGCATACCATCAGTTTTACTTGCAACAGAAACCAGCTTATTAATGCAAATATGAACAAATCAACAACAAAGACAGCTGACAAAGTGACTCTGAAACCATCTGGAAGGAGTTACTTCTACAGCTATAAACAAAATAAGTCTAGATCCAAAATCCTTTTAAACTTATTTTCCGAGAGAGTCCATTCAGTGGTTTAAAATAGCCTGGCTTAAAAGCTATTGAGTAGGAGGCAAAAACTAATCTGTGAGCAGGGACAACAGTCACGCTGTGTGCTATGGTAAACAACCACTAGTATTGTTGAACAGACAGACTGGGAAAGCACTCTTGGTTTCAGTAGATACAATTCGATTCAAAAGCTGAGAGGGAAAAGAACCTGACTTTTAAATGGAAAAAAAAAAAACTCAGTATTTTGATTAACAGGGAAGAACATTTTGTAGTGAAACATGTAATGATACGTTCAAGGTAAAGGGAGACAAGAATAGATCTGAGAGAGGCAGAAAACAAAGCACAACATCTTTACTTTTCCTCACTTGTCTCTTGCAGAAGTTAAAATGAAGTACAGAGAATGCATTTGGGTACTAAGAATTTTTACTCTGGTGGTGTAGTTCTGCATAGCATGAACGAAAATACATTTTAATCCCAGAGAAGGTGAAAATATAGATGACATTGAACTCAGTGGCCTTACCTCCAGAATTATACCAGCAAATATACCTAACTTTCTGAGAAATCCAAAAGTAGCCATTCAGTTATTTAGTTTGTGTGTGTGTTTGTCTGCACGCACGCACATTTTTCCTTAAATACACCCTGTGACCTGCTGCCTCTTCTACTATACTGTTTTCTTGATGATAAACCAGTAACTCAGCACTACTTTATGTTAAAGGGGAGAGGTAGGAATCATGCATGAAAATTCTGAGAGCAGGATCTGGAGGAGAGGCCCAGAGGTGAGAATCTTGGCTGGAGAAGGGATTTGCATGAGGTTCTTTTCCCAGGTAGAGCACACACTGGATGCTGAAAGACAATCAGCTTTAATAATCATACGAAAGGATTGGTAGAGTGGTAGCAAAGACAAGGCACAAGAACCTCCAGAAAAATCCCTTTAGAAAGGCATAATATACATGAGGACATTGCTTTTCCCTCCCTGGGAGGCAGAGGGTCTCTAGGGAGCTGGTCATGCACCTTGTTATGCCCTTTTGATATATCACTTTTGCATGACATTTCAAATCACACTCCCAGTTTACAGTAAATAGCAGATTCCATTTTTCCTTTTGTTCTGCAATTTTGCAACTAAGATGTTTTCCCTAATCCTAAGCCACGTGCATGTGCATGAAAGAGAACTTTTTTAAAAATACATACTAATTCCTGCAACAGTCCTCCAAACAAGTTTGTGCCTGAAGCTTCAAAGTTCACTCTATGGAATTAATTACAGGTCTCTTGGAGCAGTACTTTCTGCATTTAGATGCTACTTTTGCATACCTGTATGGTGTACTGGTAGGTTCCTGCTCTTGGCTGCCACGGAAACGTCAAAATGCTGGGTGAAAGAACTATTGGAACATAAATTTCAACATCCTGCTGGTTTCGCACTGGAACTGGCAATGTATGAACACCTCCATCCTATAAAAAGCAACATCTTATAAATGGTACCACACTACCTTCCAGGAATAATTTTCAGTCTATGTTTATAGGCAAGTAGTTGAAAACACCTCTGAGAAAAAAACAATTTAGGGTCACTTGGTTATGAGCAGTGTTATTTACAAGCTCATCGCAGCAAGGTGTACTGAGATATGGGTTCTCAGGCCCATTTAAAAGCAAACAGCAGCAAGGAATACACTCGTTTGCTACTCCTACTACTAGCCCATACACAATCCACACAGGATAGCAGGGGAAGACACTGTCTCCAAGCCTAACACACCCAGTCCTCAATCCATCTGGAAAAAACAGACTTCACATATTGCTGAAATGCTCTAACAGTTTTGCACAATGTACTTTTTTCTTGCTGAGATTATAAAGGAAAGTATTAATAGCTCTCAGTAGATCT